GCTTACATTGGTGGGATCAGTCACTAACCCTACCAACGCTAAAAGATACAATAGTAGTGACTTTTTGGGCATGCTTTTTGCCATAGGGTTAGTGACTGATCCCACCAATGTAAGCAAGGTCCAAAAAAAGTACAAAAATTCTTTTTTTTTTTAGTTACAAGTTTTTAGGCCCCTCTCTCTAGTATAAGGTTAGTAACTGACCCCACTCACTACAAAACTCTACTCAGAACAAAAGAAATCTCTTACGCTCAACAGCATTGTTGGTTCTGTGATCAAATGCATAGACTGAGAAGGCATCAGGACCAATTTTTTCAACCCACTGTTTACGAAAGTATTAGTAGAATTCCTTCAGCTTGTCATGAATTGTTTGATCGATAATGTTGTCATGAACAATCTGTAATATTTCGTTTTTGATTTTAACAAACAATTGTGGAATATCACCCGGTTGAAAATAAGCTAAACAGGCTAGCTTATGAATCCACGATCGACTTCTTTATGATCCTTGTAGGCAACTGCTAACAGTAACCGTCATCGGAGGAGCTGTGAAGACGAACGGAGGGGCGACGTTCATTGTTCCACTGACAGTTGTGGTGGTCGGTTGAATAGCTTGTGGCTGTTGAAGTAGAGGCGATTGTACACTGCCGGTGTTAATCAAACCAAGTCCGGCCATTGACTGAAGCATTGCTGCAAAGTTGAAGGGTTGAGGAGGAATCGTGGTGACGGGCGGTGTGGAGGCAACTGTGGGAGAGAATGTGAAGTTTTGAGCAGCTGGCTGTGGCTGCTGTTGAAACTGGGAGAAGAAATTAGCTGTCATTGCAGCCAGAACATTGGGATCAATTTGAGAGAAGTTCATCTGTGCCATTTTCAGGGTTAGTGACTGAACGTAGAGACAAATAAAACATGCAAAGCACAAGGCGATAAAGAGAGAGAGAGAGATTAGTTACTTACATATTAAATTATTGTTTGTACGATTTGGAGCAATGGCAGGTATTGACTGACAAAAGACGCGACACACTGGTCCTTATATAGGAATCGGCGAACACAGTAGGAAAAGTCACCCGTCCACGAATCAATACAAAACGCAACAACTTTACCTCAATATAAAATACCCGTCAGTGACTGAATGAAAATCGCAACACTTCTCTCTCTAATTACAACAGACTAGTCCATCTTTTCATACAAAACTTCTTCTTATATTCATTCATTCATTCACTTTTTTAGAAAAACAATGAATAGAAGAAAAGAGAGAAAGAGGAAAGTCCATTTACTTTATTACTAATCGATCCATCCAAGGATCAAACACCGTCCTTGATCCTAAAAGCATAAACAAGTCTCTGGTAGTAACTTAACTGACATTGCACATAATTAGCGGAATGAACAACTAATTACTGTCTTTCATTAAGGAAAAACTAATATTCTGTCTACTACAGGGTTAGTAACTAAGCCTATACTAACACCTACAGTACAAAAACTTAGAAATACATTAAGTTTTTCTCAAACATAAGCTTAGTAACTAACCCTAGGGTTCGTGATCCCAAAGCATGGTTCGGGGTCCCCCAAACACGGTTTCCCCCAAATATTTTGTATAGGGTTAGTTACGAACCTTGAAAAAGTTGCCTCTCTTTTGGAGACAAAAAAGTGTCACTTGGAGGTCTAGGTTAGTACCTAACCCTAGGGTTAGTGATCCCTAACCCTAACGTTAGTAACTGACCCTATAGAAATTCTGTATATCGATTAGGGGGCCCCTTCGTCCCCCAGAATACCCCCCTCCCCTAAAAAATACGCTACCGTTGAAACCAAGGCGTGCACGTGATGAGATTTTGAACTATGATCGAAGTTCTTCAGACGAGTTAGTCTACTATACTATTTTTACGTCCAAAACACCATTTGTTATAGTCTGAGCCAAAGGCAAGGAACACGTAGTGTAATTCTTTCGTGGCCTAACTTTTTTGAAATTTTACAAGTGGTAGATGGTAGTGTAAAGCGCATGACTGAGAAATTCTGGGTTTGCACTCGTTTATTATCCCCAAAATATTCTGAAATTTTTACGAGGACTTATACTGCGTCACTGCAAAACTCCCGCTTTTTTTGAGGTCGTTCATTTTTCAACGACAACTGTGATCTTAAGTTAAGGAGTCTTTCGCTCTGATTTCAGCTGGAGTTTTTCGAGTTCTTATAGAGACAAGGTCAACACTTCCGTTCTCCGTTTCTCTGAACCTATCAGGTACTTTACTCTTCCTCACAAAACTATCGAACTGAAGAGTTACTCACGGAAACTAAAGTCTGGATATTTTCCCAAGCTGTATGCAACGCTGCAAAAACGTTTTTTTGATGTAGACAAGTGAGAAAAGTATTTTTTTTTTCATAAAAGTCTAAGATATTTTGACAGCTATTGTAACAGCTTTTAATTTATTTTAGGTGGGTTCACATCCGACCACAACATCGAACTTACATTTGCAAGTTTCATGTAGTGGGTCATACAGCAATCTTTTTGGGCCGGAACAACCAATGGGCACCATATATTTGTTTCTCTAAAGAACTTATCAAAAGAAGAAGTCATATTTCGCAGCCTTCAAATTCTAACTAATCTCGAAGTGCAAGCAGAAAAGACAAAAGTGGACTAATCGAAATTCGCGAAACTTAAGGAACAGCTTTCAATCAGTTTTGACCGTATCACATTACTAGTACCGCTCACTTTATCTGGTACGTCGTTCAGCAACGACTCATTAACGTATTTTCTGTCACGCAAATATGTCTCAAAGTATGCATTGTTGCTTAACAAGCTGGTACAACAGTTTCCAAATGGTTTTTTTCAGATCATTGCAAAAAGTAGAGATAACTGCACATTCCAAATTGGATTTTATCAAAATGGACTGTGTAGAGAATCAACAAAACTTAAACCTGAAGCAAAGACTTTCTTTCTTGTTAATCTTGTCTTTCTGAATCGAAATACTATAACTTTTAAGAAATAAACTTTGCTGAAGATCATCTTGTCGCATACGTTAGATCTGAGGAGCAGCGTTTGACCTGATCTTTTTTTGAGGGGTTCAAACTGATGCCGGTTTAACGACAAATAAACTCCAATCAGACCGAGAGCCGATTTTCGGGACTGAGATAAAACTCTCGTCCTGATATATAATTTTGTTGGATACATTTTAAAAAAGACTAATTGCTACTACAGCTGCCTTTGTGTAAATAAAATTAAGGTCATCGCAAAGTGGGGAGTTATCCAGTGTCACTTTCCACATAATGGGGAGCCTTCTCATCCGTTCGTATTGTCTGCTCTCAAATAAATAAAATGCTTCTTTTTCATCTCGTCATATTCCGCACGAACACAATGAAAGTATCTACCGGAAAATATTGCCAAAGGTATTACCGAGTGGATTAGCGATGTTTTTTTTAGGTATATCTGCCCTCTGGTTGCGTCCAAGATGTTTCATGTGATGTAATTGTTTAGCAAGCCATTTAGTCTCTTTTTCTTTACCAAGTTTTCCACCTTCTGTAACAATTCCAGCAGCAGCCTCTTCTACGACTTCTAAAACACTTTTGCCAGTGTCTGCAATGAGAAGCCTGAGATAAGCACCAGACAGATTACCGTCTTCCCATAGCTCGCAAAGGCGATCGTCTTTTTCGTTTGTAGAAGAAGTAGAAATCGCCTGAGAACTATCTCTACTATCAGTAGCCAAGGTAATAGGTAGTGCAAACCTTTCCTCTCTCAGTTGAAAGTTGAGTTGATTACCTTCATGCTGAAGACGTTTGATTGGACGTTGTCTGTTTTCCTCGCCCTTTTTACACTGCACAAGACGGTTCAGGTCGACCACATAGTTATCGTCAAGTTCAACTTCGGACTGCTTTTCGTTTAAGGCGTCTTCGATGATTTCGTTTTCTACGGCAGTATACTTTTCCCAAGTTTCGGGTTGGTGTTCCACCTTGATTTTAGAAGACCAAGAGTCAACTGACGATTTCCAAAACCATTGAAAATTACGTGGACGAAGAAGAACTGGTGCAACGTCGTCAAGGGCAGCAGACTCTTCAAAAGCAGTGGGTCCAGCAGCAATGCTGCGAGATGTGGAGGCCTCTTCAGTACCCACGACCTGAGATGTAATCTGTTCAGAAGCAATGTGTTCAAAGGAAGAATTTCTGGAAATAGCGATCTCAGGGGCAGATGCTTCAGGCATCGATGAGGGACAATGACGCTTTATGGAAGTAGAGAGTCTGGTTACAAATCTAGCGAAAGCGGACCCCATTGTTATGATTTGGGTATCCTTATATATCTGCGTTCATATAGCGTGATGAATACGGTACAATAGCAAGATAATATTAAAAGACAACATTAGTTGATGTACAGTGCCGTTTGATAGCACACAAAAACTGAAGGTCTTTTATCTTGTACTCTGAGGATGTGTATATGCTGTCTGTTCCAATGATGAAAAAGTCAGTTTACAAAAAAACACGTTTGATGGCAGTATGCGATGCGTATTTTTTATTTCTGCATTAGACGACCTGTCACATATAAAAATTATCTTGACAGCGGTATCCATATAATAGTGAAATGTATTATTTTGACCGCAAGAGGAGATAAAAAACAGAATAAGTATACAGATGGGTAACTTAAATGACAGCGAAAGTGAAAAAACAAACAGCAAAAGAGGTATTTACGAACCTATTCACTAAAAAATGTACTTCTTTCTGTCCTCCGACATGGTTCGTTTTTTTCCTCAGATAGTATTCTCAACTGTCACTTATACCGAATGTAATTATGGAACGAATGCTTTAGTCTTTTTGCTTGTAGTGCCAAAAATATACTCTCGCTCGACTGGAAAACGTGTCATTTCAAAAAAAACAACAGCTAGGAGCCTGCAGCTAAGACTCCAGAATTCATGGATTTTGATTTGAAGATTTAAGATGAATAATATGTTTCATCGTGTCACTGTCATATTCATACTGAACAAAACGAAATAGTCTGCCAGG